TCGCGAGCCTCTCATGATTTCAGGATAGTTGAAACCCTCTTGAACATTCAGAAAGAGTGAATATGAAATTCTAATCACGAAAGGTGTTCCCCGAGGGGATACATACCTAGAGTTTGTTTTGTGAAGCACGTCAATTCTCTCCTGGGGAGCGTCTTCGTGAGCCTCTTATGGTTTCAGGATAGTTCAAATCCTATGATGTTCCGATTCAATGCTCACCGATGATCTGAGCCATGGGGCAAATTTGTTTTCCTAAGAATCTTTTTGAACATTTCGAGAGCATATGTTTGAACATTTAGAGTGCATATGAACATATATTTACGAAAGGTCGCCTCCGAGGGGATAAATCACCATGTCGAACATTGCATTTTTGTTCCTGCCTCTCGCGTTCTCTTCTCTTCCCGCTGTCCTACCTTTCGTGTCTCCCTCCTCTCAAGTATTCAGGGTGCAGTCCAGAAAAATCTTTTGCATGTTTTTGCTATCTGGGGTCTATGCTGGTGTAATTTGATGTTTTTTTTGCCAAATGTGGGTCCAGGTGGGAAACATTGACAAATGTTCCAAAACTGTTGTATAAACCTCGGCATTTGCACATCCCCAACCAACATACGAACTGGGTCCCAAAACCAATGACCTATAATATATGAAGGACCAAGAGGAGTTCACACAAAACATAGATGAACATGTCAGTTCTCAGCCTTCTCAAAATGCCCACCTCCACCACGCCCAGGCCGAGAGCTTGGAGAGTCCCCGCGCGGCGCCGCTGGCGGCGCAGCACGCGCAGGCGACGGCGCAAGCGCTGCAGGGCGCCTTACGGAAGGCGGACTCCTCGCCCGTCAGGACCCGCGTCATCGACCGCTCGACGCGTCGCACGCTCGCCGGAGCGGACGAGCGTCGACCACGGAACAGCGGTACGGCTCGGCTCGGTCAGGGTGGTATTCAAGTGGGTTCTGGGGTGAAAAAGCGGGTGGCGAGATGGAGGTGTTTTCTTGTTCTGTCAGCGGGTGGGAGATGAAGATGAACGTGTTAGGAATTGGTTTCTGAAGTTCAGGCAGGAATGCTTGGGTGAAAACAGCCCATGTGTTCATTTCACAGCGTTGCTTTGGGAAGACCCTTTGGCCTGGCAATTGTCGCGCGTGGCAGATCCGACTGAAGGAGGCTGCAGCTTGGGCAGCGGGTGATTTTGCCCAACGGAATGGTGGCCGTGGCCATGCCGTCACAGGCCTTCCGTGCGGGCTTTGCGCGGGCTTGGCGGAATGGGGTGTGCCGTGTGCCTGGTTTTCAGTTCAACCGTCGGGTTGTGCTTTGCTTGCTTAGCTGAAGGATTGAAGACGTGGTCGTGCTGGAAAATGCCCGACCAAGTGCACTTAATCGCTCCTTATAAAAAGTCTGTACTAAACTGGCCCGAAAAACAAATACTTTGGAGCATACAAAGGGGGGGTTCCAGAAAGTTTTGCTGTTTGTTTATTCTACTTAGTCTTGACATCTGCAACCTCGGAGTGGCCCATGATGCAAAATGGATGTCAAGACAGTGTGGTGGAAGGGCCTAGTTGTGTATCAACCGTATATATATATATATACTTGCCCGCCCCTTGGCTAGCTAAGCTGAGCTAAGTCTAACTTAGACTTATAAGTACTTATAAGTATGTAGCTTTGACTTAGCTTGGACTTAGCTAAGACAACTTAGCTTGGACTTAGCTTAGACTTAGCTTGGACTTAACTTAGACTTAGCTTGGACTTAGCTTGGACTTAGCTTGGACTTATAAGTACAAGCTAAGTCTAAGTTAAATTACAATATTTTCTTTAAAAAATAAAAATACAAAATTTGTATAAATGATCTCATGTGAACAAAAATGCAACGGCAAAGCCGCAAGGTAGCAACACGTCTGTTTTGGCCACCTTCCCTTGGAAGTCTATCAACAGTCGTCGTCAGACCAATTATGGCACATGCCAAACACTGGCTCAAGCATCACTGGGCTTCTTTGCTCATCATTGCCGTCCGCCTCCTTCTCTGTGTTTGCGACCGGCTCGGGCTTCACTTCTGTGTCTTTGACTGTGCCGTCTGCCGCGCGCTTGGCCATGGCGTGTGCGGAGACAGGTCTGCAAGCAGTCTTGTATAGTATACTGAGCCTGTGTCGTGTTTGTGTGGGCGCGAAAAGAAAAAGCGGCCTGGCCGCAGAAAACAAGGGATTGCATGCGCAGTTGTATTTTTTACTTTCCATGGTGGTAGTCCAGAGTCAGTGTGTCTTCGCCTTCGGTCTTCCAGGCGATGCACGCAGGAAATGGCCTTTCTAAGGGGATGAGCATGGCCACGCTTGGCTTTTGCCAAACGTCCACGTATCCCACGCGCTTGCGCCAGGCGCCGGCCAAAACAAGGACGAAAAAGTTTTCGTCTTTCTGCACACAAGCCTGCACCAGGCACAGATGGCCATCCTTCCGGCGCATTTGGCCCGCGACCACCTGCTCCTGTGTCGTGGAGGCCCAGTGCAGTTTTAAACTCAAGAGGTCGCCATTGGAGCTCTGTACAGGAGGCTCTAAGTGCGTCTGCCATGCCGAAGGGCGGTCGTCTATCTGTTCGAACAGAGCCCTGCGGAGTAAGCTCTGCTCGAGGCCAACGTGGCCGCTACCAGCAGCGTCCAACAGTGCCTTGAGCGGCTTTCCCTTGCGCTCTGTGACGAAGCAATCCAGCATGCACTTGTCGCGCAAAATCTGTCCTGGTATATGAAGCATAAAGTGGTGCTTCGGGAGCAGATGCTCATCGCCATACACGCGTGTGTGCGCTGCCATGTGCTTTGCCAGAGCAGACTGCAATGTAGAGGCCACTTGCTCGAAGTTTTCTGGCTCCAGTTTTGCTCGCTGCAGGGCCGAAATCACTTCCCACATTGCAAAGAAAGACAGCTCCTCAGGACCGGGGGCCGATCTAAGGCACCAAAGAACAACCAAAGGGAACAAGGTCAGCAGCTCGGAAGCGGAGCCCTTGTACGCATGAACCCAAGTTTTCTCTCGTCCCACAGTCAACTGTCGAAGAATGACCCGCTGAAGATCAGTCTGCCAGGACCACTCCTGACAAAAGGAGCGCCACTTCTTGAAAATGTCGCTATGACTTCGAAGACACTGTTTGTACATCAGGAACATCTCCACAGAGCCAGTGCCGCTCTGATAGCAGGAGTGCATGGAGTCATAGGTCCACGCAGATGTAATGCTCACCAAAGGACGCAGTCGTGGTTGAAATTTCAAAGCGTGAGCATTATATGTGAGGCCTCTGGTTTTTTCCATTTTCTTGAGGTTCGCAACAGACGAATGCGCAGCGGCTTCGATCAATTCATCTGCCCAGCGGTGTAAGTCAGACTCGCCCAGGCGACCCCAGCGTGCAGGGTCCGTCTCGCTGAAACTGTAGCACTCCGAAACAGTCCAGCGCTTGCCGATGATCGATCCACATAAGGCACACGGTTTCATCCCGTTGTGACCTTTTGTGGAAAATGCATTGCGGAGAGCTGGGGCATCAGCTAAAAAGTTCTTGATGCGTAGTTGACACCTCCACCATGCGTCCTTGTGGTATAGAATCAGAGGTTCAGATACCAGTCGCTCAATCACCTTCGCCATGAGACCGCTGGCACCACCTGTGTGGGCCATAGCGAGCTTGTGGCGAGAGCAAAAGACTGGCAACCACATTTTTTCGCTCGAAAGATGTGGCCCAAGGATCAAGAAAGCGATATAACAGACGCTGACCTTGCGTCGGGGGTCGGGCGCCACCACATTGCCACCTGTGATCTCGTCCTCGAACAGAACGATGTCTAAGGAGTCCTTGTTTGCCAAGAACCGGCAAATCTGCTCCCAGCTAGGACATCTATGAGACAAAAATCTCATGGCCCTGCCCGGATCGGCAAAGTATAAGTCATATGTTTGCTCTTCATCACAGGAGGTCGTAAAGTGTTCGAAGACCCAATCTGTAGGAGCTTCCAAATCCTTTTGCAATTTTGTTCGTTCTCCGCGTACACTCTCCGGCAGCCCTTTCAGTATTGCAGCTGCTTTGGCCAAATCGGTCAAATTGTTTCGGATCTTAAAGAGGGCTTCGCTATCCCTTTTTCTTTTGCTACCTGCAGACATGGCTGTGCAAATGCCACGTCTGTGAAAAAATACAAAATGCTGTCATAAAATCTCGAACCACAATTATTGTTAATGAAAATATTTTCAAAAAATAATATAAAAAACAAAACGGCTAAGCCGCAGAGAAACTAAACAAATGAAACCAAACGGCAATGCCGAAGAGAGTCTATGAATACCGACAAGAAGAAGCGGCAAAGCCGCATTTTGACACTGGTGTGAAAAAAGGTGGTGAGCTCGTTGTAGCTGCAAGACCTTTTGGACTCTCACTGTTGAAGTCACAGGTGCTGTTGTCGAATTTGTGAATTACTGTACATGAAGGTTCTGTAGTGGCGTATCCGCACTTTTGACCTTCTGTAGGACACGTAAAGTGTTCTCAACTACCTCGGAGAGCAAGGCAGCATTATAGCCGATGGGGATTGGCGCAGAGCTTCGGAGACCGGCCAGGAACTGGTCGCTGTAGTATAGCACCCTGGTATCCATGGCAACATGCAATGGCTGCCGCTGCCTCTTCGCGCAGTGGATCCGGTGGAGCAAACTCGTCGTAGGTGCTGGTCAGGTAGCCCATCAAATGGTCTCGCAAGGGGAGGAGGGCATCGCGACTTGTCAGGGCAAAGTCCAGCATACCATCGAGCACCACTGGGTCAGGGTCAGCGCGAAGTGCTGCTCGCATTGCCACCATTCTCTTCTCGCGGAAGAAGTGAGCTTCCAAGCAGCGATACTTACCCAGATGGCGCTTCTTTGTGTAGAGCGCAACCAACTGGCCCTTCTTCACGCCGATGACTCCGCGCATGCGGCCGACAGAAATCGCACAAGGATCTAAACAACTTGCGCCAAATAAACTGCCACGCGAAGTATAGTGATCGGCTTCGCCGAGGAGTGAGTGACCAAATAAAAACGGCTTGGCCGCAACACAAACGAGAAAACATCTAAAGCGGTATTTACACAGATCAGCTTCACCAAAGAAAAAACATAAGTGGTGCGCCGGTTGGAGTGTGCGTCGTCGCAAGGACTTTTTTCACCAGCCGAACACATGAGCTGTCGAGTGTTTCACCCCTTTGTCTCCTTGTCCTTCTCGGCCTCGACGACAGCCTGCGCAGTGGCTTCCACAGTCTGCTCGAAATTCACGGTGGTCGTCTTGACCTCCTCCATCAACTCCTTCATGGACTTGTGCGTCTCTTCGCAAATAGCCTCGTTCTCCAAGCCCTCAAGCCGATCGGTCCATTGGTCGATCATGACGTTGAAACCGTTCTCTCCACTCAACATCTTGTCGCCAAGGTCTTGCAACTTCTCTAACTGCTTGATCTTGGAGCGGACCTTCTTGCACCCGCCCATCGCTTTCTGGGCCTTATCCATCTGGGTCTTGATACTCTTGCAAGTGCTCTTGATGGCCTTCTTCCAATCCACTCGGATTTCATCCTCTGGGATATTGTCTGGGAGCGGCTTTGCTTTACTCGCATCCATGGTCTTGGACATTGTGTGATCGTGACAATATCCTTCGGCCTTTTGGCCAACGTGCTCCACATACTTGTACTCCTTCATTCCCATCTCGGCCCATGTCTTCGATGGGTGAGCCCGCTGTTCGTAGCGGTCAAGCTCGGCCACCACCAACACATCATCGTGCTCCAAGTGTGTCAGACCGAGCTTTTGTTTCATCTGGAAGATATTCAACCACTGATCAGTCTCTGTGTTTCTGCTGCTGGATGAAGATACTTCCACACTGGAGATACCTGCAGTGGATTGAAAATTGATTGTTGATTTTTTTGAATATCGTATCTTTATATATATGGAAATCGAAAACTTGAAAAATACACCTAATTCACACAAGGTGCTGGAAAGCCAAGTGCACTTGAGATCTGACGCAAATTTTTCCAAAATTTCTTCTCGGGCCTCAGCCGTAGAATTCAAGCAGGCCAAAGCCTTCTCAGCATCTGCGGCCTCTTTGCCGCCCTTTTTCTTGAGGTAACTCAGTTTGCTATGCAGCTGTCTGTAAATTTCTCGATCAGCACTGCCTTTTGGCTGTGCCTTGGGCTTGGCTCCTTTGCCTCTACCCCTGCCCATGGCTTTCAAAAGCAAAGTGCAAAATTAGTCGGCTTGGCTAAAAGTTCCTGCAAAACG